GGTTGGAGTTGATGAGATTCTCGATCTCGTCGATGTCCGATTGGGAGGTGGAGTGTAAGGGAATTGTATCACTGTGTGACATTCTGTAAGTGAAAATTCGGATCTGGAGTGTAATTAGAAAGAAGCGGCGGCGGGAGGAGGATGTAATGGCGGTGGAGGGCGGCGGGAGATTCTGCTGCGGGAGTAGTGAGAAATAGAGGGATTTATTTGATTATTTAATTTTCCATTTGTCTTAGAAATAAAAGAAACGCGGCTTTTATGTGACATGGCACCCATGACAGGCAACACAGTAAGGGCACGTTTGGTGGAGCAAAATATGTCGAGAGGAAACCAGCTAAAAGTGAAAATATTTATAATCATATATATATATATATATATATATATTTTTTTTTTTTTTTAATTTTGGTTGACAATGCACACCTAACAACACGGCATTTATCTGTCTTAAAAGAATATATTTTTAAATCAATGGTTCAGATTTTGACAACATAAATGTTGTCCACGACAATTGCACAAATAGCTTTATTCAAAAATTTATTTAGAAAAAAGATAGAAAAATAGAAGAGTTCAAATTCTTGAATGAGCAAAAAAATAATTTCTTCAAGATAATTATAAATAATAACCATCCCAGATCATAGCAGAACACATCACAATGTATTTGTAAGAATTTGTAACGTGTTTGAACATAATTTGGATGAAAAATTCTTACTTGAAAAGCATGAATCTCCAAATCTTCATTCTTCATGGTTGAATCACATTTCTTTTCCTATTGCAATATTTACATTTTTGTTGCACTCCTATAAGCCAAATATCAATTACAATTGAAGGAGATTATTTTCCACAATCTAAGTACCAGTTTTCCTAAATTTTCTTGCCAAAAATATGATTCGACTCTTTCCAATGTCGATGTATTTTCCCATATGAGTTTTTACAATTTTTAGCAATCATTTCTCAAAAAATTGTGCTAGATAAGTCAAGGGGAGTTTTAAAAAAATTGAGAGGTTGAGGAAAGTCATATGTTTGAATTGCAACTTCAAATCATTATTTTCATTAAATTTTAATATTTTGCAGGTCGAGTCATCCCATATGAACCACCTACAACATGTTTTCCAAGAGTATCCAATTAAGCAATTATGTAGACAATTCAAAACAGCCACATGGTTTGTGACTAGGATATACATATGTAAATAATTGAAGGCTTGATATAAGTTCAAAAATGAGAATCAAACGAACAAAAACTAGATTGCTTGTTAAAATGGGAGGCAAGGCAAAAACCAACGAAACCTAAACATAAATTGACAATGTTGCACTGAACTCACACAAAGAATTATTAATAACCATTATAATGATAAAGGGAAAGAAAAACAAGTAAGTTGTGATTTTTTCTTAGAAATGCAAACAATACATTCCAACTTCCAAACCGTATTATAATTGAAAACTCCAGAAAAATTACTATTTGTTGAAATACAAAATGAAACGGTTATGAAACAAACCTTCGGGCCCTCTGGTGATGCAAGGTGTTGCTGCTACTTCAATGAACAAATATTACATGAGAATTGAGATTGGGGCTTTCTCCTCCCTTGTACCACCGGTGTGAGAATTATTAAAAGATTTAGGAACGTAGATTTCGGAAGAAAAGATAGACTGTGTATTCAAATAGACAAAATTTCAAGGCCGATACCTGTCTTGCCTCAAGGGTATTTATAGGCATGAAGCCATCGTACCACGTGTACTACAAAGCACCTCTTACCACCCTCCACGTTCTGAGTGGAGGACCTCCATCTATCTAGTAGTTGTGTCCATGATAACTATTGAACGATTCACATCCAACTTAGTGATGTTTTATCGTTAAGTATTGTTATGGCCTCATAGTGGTAGACGACTTCATAATGGTAGACGACTTAGTATGAATGTAGAGGGCCTTATAATGGTTAATAGCCTAGCGTGGACGTAGAGAGCCTCGTAGCAGCAGACACCTTAGCATGCAAATAGAGGGCTTTGTAGTGGTAAATGGCCTATTATGAATGTAGAGGGTTTTATAATGGTTGACAGTGCAACGTGGACTTAGAGTGCCTCGTAGCAGCAGACGACCTAGCATGCAAGTAGAGGGTTTTATAGTGGTAAACGGCCTCATTGTGGTAGATGGCCTCAAAATGTAGACGACCTAGTATGAATGTAAAAGACCTCATAATGGTAGACGGCCTAGTATGGAGTGCTATAAGTAGAGTAACTATTGATTAGTCTTCATTTTGCTGGGCATCGTAGATAATCGTTGATACCATCTAATATTACCAGTCACTCTACCTCTTGTCATGTTTATCGATAAAGGGTAGCGTCTTCACCTCATCCATGTTGATTAATTTTTTTATTTTTATTTTTTGAACTCAACCCATCACATATCAACATTGGGTATAATATAAGTGAAGTTGAGCTGTTCAAGTGGCATAGGGTAATGATAGTATTATACAAATGACACCCCATAGGATGGGTTTGATTTTAGGAACAAATCTCCCACAAAAAAAAGCCAAAATTATCATCTATATAAAGGAGTTGAGACCTCCCTTCCTCATTTTCTTTCCCCATTTGCAAAAATTCTGGAAACATTATTCCTTCAAACTCCCAAGGTAATTTCTTCTCCTATTCTTCCTCCATCTTAATATTTCAAATTGTCTTCCTTCATTCCATCGTAATTTATAAAACTATTTTAACTACATCCTTTGACAAAAGTGGTAATGAGGGGGCGAACAAGTCAATTGACCTATCATCGGATGGGTAGGTTGACGCTCGCCAAAGCATTGCTAGTCGACAGTAGCCGCCCAACCCTCCACGAGGCTAGTTGATAGCCGTCCAGCCCCTCTCATGGGATTAATCGATATCTTTGTGATTCCGATAGGTTGACCTACTTAGCTGAACTTTATGTCTTTCAACCAAGATCTCTCAAAAAGTATAGTGGCTCAACTAAATCTTTGAACCAAAATTTAGAAATTGAAGGGATCTGACGGGCAAGGTTATTGCTCTTGATATTGCTACAGCATTTACAACTTCCCAATCAAATTGGAAAAATCACTTGGCAAGTTCAATTGTATTGACAATTATATTTATAGACCCCCTAGGCCTAAAAAGAGACTTCCCAGGTTTGACCTTCATGAGGTTGCTGTGTATAAAGACACTATGGATCATGGCCTTTGATTTCCTATCCATCCCTTCTCTGTCTCAATTTTCAGTGAATTTCATCTCACTGCTAGCTAAATAAATCCAAACGCATGGAGGAAGACGTACTTCTTGTACATCATCCTTCACTCTGTAGACCTCTTTAGGTGCATCTTTTAGATACATGGACTAGCTCAGTGTAATGCCTTTGTCCTTTTCATCTCTAGAGTCCCCTTGAGCTTCCCAAATTTAGGAATTTCAACAATGAGTAAAATTCTCAATTCTTCTCTGTTCGGCCTTTCGAGAGCCAATTCTCGTACAACACTAATTGGAGACATTCTCAAATTCATCTCTTCGATAGTCACGTTGAGCTTACTCATTCCTTAAGAGAATAAATCTAACAATTGAGTGATATACCACCTCTTGAACCCGACTTAGGGTTAGTTTTGACTATGAGGAATACGTTGATAATGGGAATCGATCAACTTGCTGGTAGGTTTTTTTACCTCGCCCTAAATTTGCACTTGTATATATTTTTACTTATTATTTTAGAGCTTGATGAACTCAATTATATGCATGAAGACATGGACTTTTATTTCGATGAGGTGGTGAACTCCCTATCCACGTTGGGGTACGATGAGTGATTTATCCCTACTGATGGTAGGTTCTTACATATTTTTCTTTTAATTTTGCATTTATGCAAATCTTTATTTGTTGTTCTCTGAGCTTGATGAATTTTATTTTGCATATGCAGACATGAAATTTGACCTAGAAACGACCATGGATTACATGCCTTAGTGCAGGCATGAGAGTGATGGAGACTTCTCTTCCATTCCATTAAAGATAAATAAAACTGTCAATGGGGGACAAGTTTGCATTGCTGATGAGACCTCACGTCCTTTGGATAAAGCCTATTGAAGCTGTCTCACTCCCCTAGCCTATAGGGGATAGCTAAAGTCACGTTAGGTCCGAGAAGGGGGCTCTCCTCTTTTGAACTTTGGGTTTTCCCCTACTTAGAGCTATCATGATATGGTGATACTTAGGTCTTTGGTTACGCCCATTCATGCTAGGGAACTTGCTAGGCAAAGTGTCGATTATGTAGAGAGGATTTTGGCGGTCTACACCCAGAGGGTAAACCTCCTGTTATACTACCTTATTTTTGTTTATGTCTATTCTCTCAAGCATGTCTAACAATTGTTTATCATTTTGTCTCTTCACTTGTTAGGTTGTGGCCTTATAGATTGAGCTTCTTGAGTCAAGCCATCATCAAACATTGAAGCTAAAATCTCTTACAGAAAAAATAATAAAGAAGCTCACCACTACAAGAAGAAAGTTTATTTTTGAAGAAGTCCCTCGAGGCTTTAGAGGCCTAAGCTCATGAGTAAGAGATAGAAAATGATAACCTACAATCTGTTTTGATCCGACCATCGGAGGATGAAGTAAAACAATATAAGGCCTCAACGGAGTATGCTAAGAACCTAGAGGCGTCCATGGAGCAGTATAAATCATCCTCATATGGGTGAAGATGATGGCAACGTCCATCAAATTGGCTAAGGAGTGGATAGCTGCTGAGCACTCTTCTATCAATTCCTCAGGATTCGATAGGTTTCTGGTGCAGCACAATGTGACAGATAGCAGAGCTAATCAATCTAAGACATTTGGCAAACATGCGATGTGGAAGCGAAGGGACTTCCCACTTAGGTTGATATAGTCTTTTGTTGCTGATTTTCTAGCGCTTCTCATTGTTTTTCATTTTTGTCATTTGATCGTGAAGTAGTTTTTCCTCCTTCGGGATGTAAACAAAAATCACAATTTATTTTGAGTATAAATGATTTCTAATTCGAAATTTTTGTTGTTTAATTTTTCTCTATCCATTTTAAATAACACAATGTCTAGTTTCTGGACCGTCATTTCTTCCATCTTTCATTCCAAGCCTACCATAGACTTGGAACTTGGGAAACTACAACCTCAAGAGGCCCCAAGTCTTCTGCTGCTGATTGACTAACAGGTAGAACAACTGCTTGTATCACTTGAGGCTGTTGCTCGCGCATAACCTTTGACTACTTCTGTAGT